GTGATAGACCTACCTTCACGTGGCGCACCCTGGGCAACGTACAATCATATGGCAAAAAGTCTATTAACTGGCAGTTGACTTCTCACTTCAAACTACCATCACTCCACTCTATGTCATATTCGACCCCTATCACAGTACTCATCTTACCTTTTCTCTGCCTTTTTGTTTGTCTGTCTCTTTTACATCTGTGAATCATTATTCTGTACCCCCTCTCGACTTTTGTCACTTCGATGTTCCTCCTCCTCTCTGTGAATCTTGATTTCAGCTAAAGGGCTAATGATAACTATCAAATCGCCTGTCATTTGAAATAAATAAATCATTTATTTGGAACATTGATCTTTAAAATTTATATGCATGTGATGTAGGAGAAATTCAGTTTTTAAGTCTGTTAAATTGATTTAATTTGCTGCTCTACCACATAGGAACTAAGTGCCGTTAAATTCCATCGGTTTAGGCAGTCACTAACAATTCGACAAAGGTAACAAAAGTTGAACTAACAACTTCTTCACCAAATGATTTTCTCAAATTTAGACTAATTCATTCAAGTATTTTTTTTCACCAGAAATGAACCGTTTTTAAGATCAGAAATTATCAAGCCAGCTGTTTGGTGTGGGAGGGGGGGAGGGTGGATACAGATCGAAGTCTTGAGTAAGACAAGTCAACAGTAATGTCACTGTCACAATGACAAACTTTTACAAGAAGCCACAGCAAATAATAAACGCCTAGATACATTAATTGAAGCATCGCCCATTACAAAAGACTGCTTTTAAATTCATTTCCCAGCTTATTAAGAAATTCACAAAGAAAAGGATTTTATCGGTTTATCTCAAGGCCACACATGATGAAAACCCCATGAATTGTAGATGTAAATATGTCAGCGTTTTGCATGGGTTTATTAAAACCCACACCCAAGTGTCACGGGTAGAAGAACAAAAATTCATTACGAAATAATGCAGAGTATCAAGTAAGAACATTGTATTCTCCCTGTCATTGGAATAAAAACTAATTAAGGTGTCAAATGGTTAATTAGCACAATGCAGGGGACGATCAGTGGATATGAATTTTTGAGCATGAATTGTCCGTTAGGTTCAAGCCCATTGTTACCTCGACGATAATATATGCTTCATTTTGATCTACTTGTTCGATTTCGATTGCTTCCCACAACTAACTCATTTTTATTACTCTGAGTAATAACTATAGAGATGTAAATACTCTCATTAGAGGGGACATCGATTACTCCTAAAAATGTAGTAACTCATACACAGACCAATGAGTTTATTGGATTACTGCACGCAACTCACCTCGTGGAATCGATAGAAAATCGATTGACCATGCACGTGATATTCCGTTACAAAAGAAAATGAAGCATTCAGGCCCCTTGAATTAAATTAACTCTAATATGAATTAGAGTGACTGTATTTATTGAATTTAATGCTCTAATTCAATAGCGTGCGACAGCTATAATTTAATTCATCTAACACGGTAAGCTAGTTAACTAGGCCGCCTACCTTTTATTGACGCATACTACACCCTTCCGAAATCGATGCAAACGTGCAACCAGCATCATCTGATTCAAAACACCCACTTGGTTGGTATTCACGTTTAGACTTCGAAATATATGCTACTTGCTTGCTACCCAAATATGCTAAACAATGTCTACAGGCACTAAGAGGCGACGCTTAAATTAGCTCTATTTCCCCGGAAAGGAAAATTATAGGGCATAGAATATCCAGGACTTATCCATACGCTTTACGTTAATTTTTATTAATTGACGAGGACAGCCCAACTGATCCCAATAGCATGGCTAAAGTAGATCACGTTTTTGTTTCCTTTAAAACAGGCTTACTACAATATCGGAAATAAGGATAGCCGTTCACAATGGTCCCCATAATCCACCAAATCCAGAGAATACGGCATTATCAAAAAATATAATTTTGAGAACAATTAAATTCCTATTTAGCAACAACTGTGTCACAGCCATCAGGATCACCAATAACCCAGTTAGGAGACAAAATCAATCGCACATAAATACGACAGCTGTACTTTAGCTAAAAAGGGCGCAGAAAGATCGGAATTTCCCACTCCCCTTGAAAATTAAATCCTATAGAATTGACATGAAGAAATAATGCACTTTTAGAGTGATAAAAGTGCATTCAAGCAAACATCTATTTGCCACAAAAAAACTCGACTAAGGAAGGAGGCAACAATAATGATGAAATAAGGAGTGTTATTCCGAATTCAGCTCAGGGAAATACACTTCTCCCAAACTATTAAACGCACAGACAAGCAAGTAGTGGTGCGTATCGTCTGTCCTAGAAAACAGGAACTAGAGAAATAAGAGAATGAGAACACAAGAGAAAGAGCAAGTACCTACAGATACAAGTGGGATGGTGTTCGTGTTAAAGTAATATGCAGGGAGAGCAAAACGGAAATAACATGTGTCCTGAGGGAGAGAGTATGCGGACATGTTGAATAATGTGAAAGTGAATGGCGCCTAGGAGAACGAAATATATACATACAAAGAAATTCAAGTGGAGATTTTGATGTTTTTTTTAAAAGAGGAATGAAATAAAGCGATGAGATGAATACAACAGACTCTCACGATGAGAGACTAAAGTAAAATGGGCAAGGAAAGATTGAGGTATTATTCACAAATGGAGCAAGAGGAAAGAAAAAGTAACCAACGTAAGACCGAAGGAAGGGAAAAGGGTAAGCTAGAGTAATGATGGTTAATGTCCACCGTTATTGGTAATTCCATCCAGTAACATCCATTAACTGGGGTCTGATAAAATCATATTTTCCGGATTTTTGGACAGCGTACTTCGGGGTTTTCACGGGCGATTTGATCCTGACCCTGTTTGCGATAATCAAAGCTGCAATCATGCTGATCTGCGTATCGATGGAGTGAACAAAATAAGCCCTCACAACGACAGTGAAAGCCTCAAAAAATAAAAACAAAATAAATATCGATTTAACTTATCGCCACAAAATAAATTAACATCAAAATTATGAAGCGAAAATATAAATCGCATTGCAAGTAAAGATCAATATTTACCTGTAAGACCAACTCTTCTCTTGCACAAGGAGCAACGATTAATTGCACGATTTCTGGTCGGTTCTACCATAAAAAAGAACTTCAGCTTAGTAAAACCAATATATTTACAAAAATGACTTAATCATAAATATCTACCACTTTGTGTTGATTTTTCTGATTCAGTAGAAAATACTAAAATGGAAAAGTGAGCTGTATGAATAAAGACTAAGATGAAAAATGAAAGAAAATTGGTGCTTACAGGAATCTGAACTTTCGGAAGTAGGAAGTTTGCGTTTGAGATGGTAGGATTCTGATCGAGGTAAAGGGGGTTTCTTTACCAAATCCAAGTCACTCGGGAGGGGTAACTGATTGGGTGCTTTGTGAGTGAAACCAGCGGCAGTAGAAGTAGCAGTGGTAGAGGTAGACCCACTAACTGGTATCTGAGAGGAATTTTCGGAAGTCAAGCAAGCCTTATAGCACTTGGAGCACATGTCATTAAATTGAACACTGCCATAAAATCCACAACCGCGCTTGCACAAATTGTTATTAGATGTTGTCTCACTCTCGCACTCTGGAGTTTTGTCAGTCTAAAGGAACCAAATAAGCAATCTAGAGGTATAAAGTTCTAGATAATAATACAAGGATATTACTAATAAATTACATAAGGTTATTTTTTTAAAACGGATGCGTAAGTAGTAAATAGATAAATGCTAAAGAAATTGTACTAAATTCGTCCAAATATACTACAATTTCCACACAAAGACAGCGTTACAATTTAACAAGTAAAGCGGCCACAAAATCTTGACAAAAAGGGGAAAATATATGTCCTTTTACCATCTCCAAAGCAGCAAAAAACCCCAACCAGAGAGCCACAAATAAACGAGGTTCAAAGCGACACCGTTAGAAAAGCGACAAAAACAAGAAATAGATAAAGAGATGCCCTGTCTACTTGTAAAATGGAAAAATTGGTGAAATTGAAATATAATAAATTAAAAACGATTTTATATATTTTATTTATGCAAAGACGAATAAATGTATATTAAATTCAGTTAGAAAAGATGGTATTAACATTTCAGGAAAATAAATAATCGTAATGGAATATTTATTTCGATTAAATACACTCATTAGAGGTTTTTAATAAAAGTTCATCCACATTATGGTTCTCATCTGCTGCTGCTTTGTGACTAAAGGAAACAGATTTTTTCAAAGAGTAATTTATTTCAAATGACAAGCGTTTTGATAGTTATCATTAGGCCTTTAACTGACTTCGAATTTCACAGAGGGGAGGAACATCAATTCGTGAAAAATTCGAGAAGGGAAAAGAAGAGTGATTCATAAATATAAAAGAGACAAACAGATACAAAGGCAGAGAAAAGTAAAGATGAATACTGTGAAAGTGGTTGAATATGACATGCGGTGGGGTCATGGTAGGTTGAAGTCAGAAGTCAACTGGCGGTTAATAGACTTTTTTACTGCATGAGTATGGGTTGCCCAGGTGTACCACGTGGAGATAAGTCTATTGCACACTAATTAAATCAAAGATATGTTTAATTAAAGTTATTTCGTAAAAACCATCTTAATGACAACAATTTTTACTGTCAAAATTAATGGAATTTATGAAAAAGTTATGCCCCTCCCTCCCCCTCCCACACACACACACACACACACACACACACACACACACACACACACACAC